AAAAGAGAAAGGGAGAGAGAAAGTACCTTTTCCTCCCCTCTCCTCGTAGTATTTTGAGCATGCAGATACAAGTGCCTAGCATTTTTTTAAACTGCCAGGCCCAGGACTCAAACCATGTAGTCAGCCATGTGGGGTCCAACCACCTGCACCACCACACCACCTCACTGGCCTCTAAGCTCCTTTTTTTCCCCAGATATCCTAGCACTCTTGTTCCTAGCATTATTACCCTACTTCTTAAGCACTCAGTTAAAGGAAACAAATATTACTCTTCTAATCCTCTAAAGTCTTACAGTGGTAGAAAGGAAAACAAGCAGTAGACTGAGGGAGAGGTACAATTTAGAGAAGAATGCTTTCAGGGACTTAACATGTCCAAGTGTCAAGGAGAAGTCTGTGTGGGAAAGAACTCCAGAGAGAGAGGACCTATTGATTGTATTCCAAAGTCCAGGAATGTGTGGAATGATAAGGTGGGGTGAGTTTTAGGAAGGCATAAAGAATCTATTCTTTTTTTAAAAAAACCTATTCTTTCATAATTTGGAGAATAGATCACAAAAGCTGTAGTAATTCATTCCTGTTTTCTCAAAGTAGAAAGCTATTAGGCATTAAGGAGGTGAGGGTGACAGTGCTGGAAAGGACACTGACAGGGTAGTCACTACAGAAAACGAATTCATTCTCCCTCTTGAACCTTTCTCTACATCTGCTCTGTCCCTTACAGAACTGATGTGTTACAAATTGCTTATGATAGTTTTTTATCTGCCAAAGTGTGTGTATGCTTATCATAGACTGTGAGAAAGTGAGAAATCACCCCCTGGAGGGGCAGTGGCCACACCACAGTCCCTTCTCCATTCTCCTGGGACTTTGGGCATGCACACGTAGGCACCAGGTATGATCTTCAAACTGCTAGGTCTGCTATTTGAACCACATTGGGCCATGTGGGTGTTCAGCACCCTAACTGCCACACCACCTGCTGGCCCACTAAGGATCTCTTTAATCTCCTGATACTTTGGGTTTCTATCTCATTCTTAGGTATCAGATCATACATGTAAATCTCAGCATTGATATTTATGCTTTAGAAATTGCTTAATAGTATCTTTGGGGCCAGCAGGTGGCGTGGTGGTTAAGGGCGTTGGACTCCCACATGGCCGACCATGGTTTAAGTCTTGGACCTAGTGACTTCCTTTTTCACTTTCCTTCTCTCTCTCTCTCTCTCTCTCTCTCTCTCTCTGTGTGTGTGTGTGTGTGTGTGTGTGACACACACACTCTGGTCAGATTGGAAGATAATAAAGGTTAAAAAAATGTAAAAAAAAGAAATTGCCCAATAGTTTATTTTTTTCTCTCTCTTTGTGTATGTGCATGTGTGTGTTTATGGCCACAGGGTGCTTGCACTCACTAGAGAGGAAGAAAGAGAAAGCACCCTGCAGTGGTGTATGACTAGGCTGCAGTCCCTTTTCCTCCAGTTCTTTGTCCCTTCGGGTTTCTGGGCACACCTACACACATGTCCAATGTGTCTTCGAAGCTGTTGGAGCCAGTAGTCAAACTGTGGTCGACCATGTGGGATCCAGCTTCCAGTGCAGTTACCCATTGCATGGTCCTTTTACTTGGCCCATGTTTTTATTGTTGATGTTATCTGATAGATGTGACAGTAGAGCTGATATGTATAGTTTAGAAGAAATGCCACCAAGATGAAATGTAGGAGCTAGACAATTGGGCGACAGTAAAGTGTGATGCTCTGCAAGGCTGACCCACATGAGAGGGTCCCAGGGTTCATGTCTAGAGACTTCTCTGAGAATGCTGGGACCAGCAGTTAGCGTAATGGCTATGTCGTCGAATTCCCATGTAGTCGACCACGGTTTGAGTCCCGGATCCTGTGGCTTAAACTCATGCTGGGAGCTGGGAGTGTGTGCGTGCGTGCCCAAGATCCTGAGAGAATAGAGGAGAAGTGATTGCGGCATGGCCATCCCCCCAGGGGATGATTTCTCACTTTCTGTCTCTCTGTCTCTCTGACGGGCGCACGCACCCTATAGCAAAAACCTCTCCAAAAAAAAAAAAGAATGCTCAGCATGTGTGTGCCCATGATCTGGAGCTGCTTGAATCTGGGAGAGAATCACAGTGTCAAGCCTTTTAGGGGTGCTTCTCTCTCTCCCTCTCCTCCACCCCCCTTTCTCTCTCTCTCTCTCTCTCTTTCTCTCTCTCCCTCTCCCTCCCTCCCTCCCTCTCTCTCTCCGTCTTGCTCAGGGAAAAAATAAATAGAAAAACTTTTAAAAAAAGTTAAATGATATTTCCCAAGGAAAACAACAGAAATAGAAGATCAGAAACCGTCAGTGTTCATTGGTGTTCTAGCAAAGAAAAATAAATTGAGAGACTTGGGGAAGAAGAGAAGTTGCTGTCATGCTCCCAGGTGATTGTCCCCAGTCATGCTGTGAATTTCCTACTTGCCTTTCTTCTTGCTTTTCCTGGATGCCTCTGGAAAACTCCATTCTTCTTCGAAGACAGCCGTGCTTCTTACAGCTTCTCCAGAATTTATTTGTCCGTATTCTTTTAGCACCTAATGGACCTCAAGGCAGTGGTTCTCAATGGGTTGCAGACCTCTTTTGAGAATAAACACAAAATCTCTGAACCCTCTTCCTAGGAAATACATATTTTACTCCCTCACACATAATTTCAGGGGATATCTCCATTTTCTAAGGTCTTCTCCATGAACCCCAGATTAAGAACCCTTGGTTTTTCTTAGATTGTTTAAAGAATTATTTCAGTTTCACCCATCGTTTTTAGAGGGATGAGGGATTGTTCAATAGTTGGTTAGAGCTTTAAGTTTACAATCTTATTTGTAAGAACTTAAATATAATACCAGTGAAAGGTTAAAAAAAAAAAACACCAAAAACTGCAAATAATTATTTTTGTGATGTTTTTGTCACATTTTATAATTAAAAAATACGTAGCAGTGGGGACCAGCAGGTGGCATGGTGGTTAAGGCGCTAGACACTCCCCCCATGGCTGACCACAATTCTAGTACTGGACGTAGTGGCTCACTTTCTCACTTTCTCTCTCTCTCTCTCTCTCTCTGGTCAAATTAAGATTAAATGAATAAATAAATAAATAACAAAAACAAAAAAATATGTAGCAGTTGTGCCACCCAGCAGCATGGTAGTTAAGGTGGCTCGATCCCATATGGCCAACCGCATGGTTTGAGTTCTGGACCCAGCAGCTTGAAAAACATGCCAGGCACATGTGCTCAAATCCCGAGAGTAGAAGGGATTATGGTATGGTCATCCCCTCTAAGGGGTGATTTATCACTTTCCGTCCCCCCTCCCTTTTTCTCTCTCTGTCTCCAGTGAGCACACGCCCTCTTGTAGCAGAAAAGCAAAGAAGGAAAAAAAGTGTAGTAATTACAAATTTGACCAAAAATTTATAACGCAACCTCAGAAGCCTGACAAAAATATAATTATTTTGAATTTAATATTGGAAAAAATTAAGTATTATAATAAGGCAAGAACTTCTATTTACGATTCTGTCTTGAAGTCAAGTGAGTACTTTAATAGGTGTTAAATAAATGTTGAGTTACGGACCAGCAGTTAGAGTAATGGCTATGTCACTGGACTCCCACATAGTCGACTGCGGTTCGAGTCCTGGACCCGGTGGCTTAATTCACACCAGGCATGTGTGCGTGCGTGCCTAAGATCCCAAGAGAAGAATGGAGGAGAAGGGATTGCGGCATGGCCATCCCCCCTGGGGGGTGATTTCTCGCTTTCTATCTCTCTGTCTCTCTCTGTCTGGCAAGCGCACATGCCCTATAGCAATAATAAAAAAAAAATCCTCTACAAAAATAAATAAACAAATAAATAAATAAATGTTGAGTTAGCCATATGAGATAATCGTCATCCTCAGATGAATAAAGTCATGTAGTATTTCAAGATAATTTATTTGGCGATGATTTGTATAGAAGAGATAGTGTAGGGACCAGCAGTTAGATTAATGGCTATGTCGCTGGACTCCCACGTAGTTGACGTAGTCCCAGACCCAGCGACTTAAACTCATGCCAGGCACATGTGCATGCATGCCCAAGATCCTGAGAGGAGAATGGAGGAGAAGGGATTGTGGCGCTGCCATCCCCCCAGGGGGTGATTTCTCGCTTTTTGTCTCTGTCTGTCTCTGACTTTCTGGCGAGCACACGCGCCCTATAGCAAAAACCTCCCCACCCCCCCAGAAAAAAAAGAAGAGATAGTGTATACGTTAATTGGAGAGAGGCAGTATTGAGAGCCAGATTATTAGCAGTAGGAAGTCAGACGGGTCTCAACCAAGTTTCTGCATATACACAGGAATCTGGAGGCAAGAAAGCATCTAAGTTTTGAGCCCAAGAAGAGATGAGAAGGTGCAACAGGAAACAGTGGTAACCAGGAGGATACTAAGTTAAGTTAGAGTTGATGGTAGACTATCCAATTTAAAAGGTTTTGCAGGGACCAGCAGTCAGTGTAATGGCTATGTCACCGGATTCCCATGTAGTCGACCGCAGTTCGCATCCCAGACCCAGTGGCTTAAAACTCATGCCGGGCACGTGTGCATGCGTGCCCAAGATCCCAAGAGGAGAATGGAGAAGGGATTGCGGCGTGGCCATCCCCCTGGGGGTGATTTCTCGCTTTCTGTCTCTCTGTCTCTATCTGTCTGGCGAGCGCACATGCCCTATAGCAAAAACCTATTAAAAAAAAATTTTTAAAAAGTCTTGCAGATGGTCCAAAATCTACAGTGGCACTTCGGTAAAAAGTAAGTCTTTCAGATGGTTCAAAATCTACAGTGGCACTTCGGTAAAAAGTCTGAGCTAGAGACATAGGTTAGTTTTTGCCACAACTCAGATGTTAAGACATAACCATTTTAAAGAAAAATAGAAGAAACTATGATTTACCACTGGCAAAGGAAGATATAAGGGGCCAGAAAGTAAAGGTTATGATTGTGTGACAGGACCTGGTCTTGTTTTCAGGTGGATTTATTGATTGTTTTTCTTCTTACAGCCAAGTGCAAGATCTGTGAGTGGGCGTTTGAAAGCGAGCCTCTGTTTCTTCAGCATATGAAAGATACTCATAAGCCCGGAGAGATGCCTTATGTTTGCCAGGTATGGCCTTTTTCTCTAGGGAGGTTTAGTTGTTTTGCTTTTAGGCGGACTGTTAGGAATCCACTAGTGAGTATTGCTATGTACCTGTACCTGCTGCATACACTCAGTGCAGGAACTCTGAGGAGTACAGAAGAATTAGTAAACACAGTTTCTGTCTTCTGGAGTTATCTCACAGGGGAAAAATACAAAAGAATGTGTCCACAAGTATAGTAATTACAGGCGGAAAATGTGTGCACGTACTGAGGGAGTGTCTGCCTCCTGTACCTGCTCTTAGGAGACGGACAGAGAAAGCTTCAGGCCTCCTCTTAGTTACAGACTAAGGGTTATTCTCAGCCTTTTCTGTTCGTTTCTATTTTTATCTTAAGTCATAGCTGGGTTTATCACATAGTCTTACATTATAAAGTCAGAAAAATTAATTTCTATGCATACAAGAGCTTTTTTTTTTTCATATTTTGAAATTTTTGTTGCTGCCTCTTTAAGGACTCAGTTGTTCACTTCATTCTTAGCCTTTCCCTCTTATGTAACAGGTATGTCAGTATCGCTCCTCACTCTACTCTGAGGTAGATGTCCATTTTCGGATGATCCATGAGGATACCCGGCATCTACTCTGCCCTTACTGCCTGAAGGTCTTCAAGAATGGCAATGCATTCCAGCAGCACTACATGAGGCACCAGGTACCAGGCATCAAGCTATTCCTATATTCTCATTTTTAAAATTTATCGGATAGTGGGCGACTAGCAGATGGCATAATGGTTTCGTCATTGGACTCCCATGTAGTCAACTCTGGTTCAAGTGCCGGACCCAGTGGCTTAAAACTCAACTGGGTGTATGTGCATGCATGCCCAAGATCCCAAGAGGAGAACAGAGAAGGAATATCGGCATAGCCATCCCCCTAGGGGGTGATTTCTCGCTTTCTGCCTCTATGGCGACCGCACGCACCCTATAGCAAAAATGTTTAAAGTAGATTAAGACTAGCTTTAGGGGGACCAGCAGTTAGCATAATGGCTATGTCGCTGAACTCCCATGTAGTCAACTGCAGTTCGAGTCCCAGACCCAGTGACTTAAAACTCATGCTGGGCGCGTGTGCGTGCGTGCCCAAGAGAGGAGAATGGAGGAGAAGGGATTGCGGCGTTGCCATACCCCCCTGGGGGGTGATTTCTCACTTTCTGTCTCTCTCTGTCTTTCTGGTGAGCGCAAAACCTCCCCCACCCCCCCAAAAAAAAGGCTAGATTTAGGGAGACTAGCCAGAAGGCTTTTTCAGTAGTTTAGGTAAAAGATGATCATTGATAGTGGCTGTCGGCTTTTGAAATGAAGTAAAGTAGGATACAGTTGAGAAATACTGAGGTGCTAGGTGAAGGTACAAGGGAATAAGTTAAGGATCATGCCAAGATTCTGACTTGGGCAATTGGATAAATAATGGGACTGTTTACTGAGAGAGAAACACGGAAGAAGGTATGTATCAGAGGCAGGGAGGCTTTACACAAACGTGCACTCTGGCACTTGTAAGCGCTTCCGTATAACTCACATTCTCCTTTTCATCTACCAAAGTGCATTTCCAAATAGGGTATGGAAATTGTGATGCGTAACTCGGCCTGAGGTTTCAGAGCCTTGCTATCCTAGGAAGGAAGATCATAGATGTGGGTCCTGTCTTTAAAGGACTTCCATACTAAGTAGAGTGAATCATCAAAGTGATCTCACAGGAAACATAGCTATATATCTTGATGTGTTGAGGGGGAAAAACAACAAAGTATATGAAAGTATTATCACTTGTGTTTAAGAAAAAGAAAAGCCAGGCCAGCAGATGGCATGGTAGTTAGGACACTGGACTCCCATGTGACTGACTGCAGTTCGAGTCCTGGACCTAGTCACTTGAAAATTATGCCAGGTGCATGCACGTGAATGCCCAGAGTCCCAGAATGAGAGTAGAGAAAGTATTGTAGCATGGCCATACCCCCAGGGGCGATTTCTCACTTTCTCTCTCACTGTTTCTCTCCCTAATGTGCCCTAAGGCAAAACTCTCTAAAAAAATAAAAATAAAAAGGATACCCAGGAATGGGTATATTGTTCACACCGTGAAGATGCAGGGGCATCTAAAGCTTATGCTACTATGTATGTCATAGAGGAAGCTGAAAGGGGTGCTTCAAGAACTTATCCTGGGGGACCAGCAGTTAGCATAATGGCCATGTTGCTGAACTCCCATGTAGTCGACTGCGGTTCGAGTCCTGGACCCGGTGGCTTAAACTCACGCTGGGCGCATGTGCATGCATGCCCAAAATCCCAAGAAGAGAATGGAGGAGAAGGGATTGTGGTGTGGCCATCCTCCCTGGGGGGTGATTTCTTGCTTTCTCTCTCTCTCTCTCTCTCTGTCTGTCTTTCTGGTGAGCGCATGTGCCCTATAGCAAAAACCTCTCCTCAAAAAAAAAAAAAAAAGAAAACTTATCCTGGCATTGAGTTCACCTTTCTCTGGGAGCATGGGAGTTGGTGATTCCCTGTAGTGGGTTTTGTTGTGTTATGTATTTCTTACTCTCTTAATTATCACCAGAAAGTGGGAAGAATTTGATTGGCATTGTTCTCCTTCTCAGAAGAAAATTCATTGGGAACCTTTAAGGGATTGTCTCCTTTTTTTTTCTTATCAGAAGAGAAATGTTTATCACTGCAACAAATGTCGGCTACAGTTTCTCTTTGCCAAGGACAAAATTGAACACAAACTTCAGCACCATAAAACCTTCCGTAAACCCAAGCAGCTGGAAGGCTTGAAGCCAGGCACAAAGGTAAAGAGGTGGCCAACTTTTTTTCTTCTTACAGACCCGGGGAGGGGAGGAGTCGACTTCAGTATTCTGAGGTATAGTGTGGGTCACATCTTACTGTTCTTTCCCTTGACTCTCAGGTGACAATCCGGGCTTCCCGAGGGCAGCCACGAACAGTTCCTGTATCCTCCAATGATACACCTCCCGGCGCCTTGCAGGAGGCGGCACCACTGACCTCCTCCATGGACCCTCTGCCCGTCTTCCTTTACCCCCCTGTCCAGCGCAACATCCAGAAGAGAGCTGTTAGGAAAATGTCAGCGCCTTCTCTTAACTGCTGGGCGGGTGGGGGCTGGGTGGGCAGGGTTTCTGTTAGCCAGTGTAGCCTGGTAGCCTTTTGGCAGGGTCTGGTGTCTAAAATCCTGTGATCTAAGTAGTCCTCGGGCAGTAATGAGCTTTTTCCTCTTTCTTGTCAGGAGTGTCATGGGCCGGCAGACGTGTCTGGAGTGCAGCTTTGAGATCCCAGATTTCCCCAATCATTTCCCTACCTATGTACACTGCTCTCTTTGTCGCTATAGCACCTGCTGCTCTCGAGCTTATGCCAACCACATGATCAAGTAAGTTGTGATTGAGTTAGTGTTTTACTCGGAAGTTCAGATTCTCCAGAAATCACTTCATTCCCTACCCTGCTGATAGTATGTTTCCTCCTCCATCTCTCCTAGCGGAGCAAGATGGCAGGACCATGTTCCTTTGGCTTTGATAGCCTGTGCTCTGGTTTTAGAAGTGTGGTTCAGGGCTATTAGCATTAGATGAGAGTTTGTTAGAAATGCAGGGGTTCAGCCCTGCCCTAGGCCCACTAAATCAGAGTATGCATTGTAATAGGTTCTTAGGTGCTTCATGTGCATGGTTTAAGAAACGTAGTGACAAAAAACTGGCTTGGGTTGAGATTAGGATAAAGAGGCATCTCTTTTGTTGGGGTATTGCCACTGGCCATTGGTTTCCAGTTTATCCATAGAACCCCTGACTCATACCATGTCTTGTCTTTCTCAGCAATCATGTTCCACGGAAGAGCCCCAAGTATTTGGCTTTGTTTAAAAATTCTGTGAGGTAAGGAAAAATTTAACTGGTAGTAACTTTATTTTGTTCGGTTTATTTATTTATCTCATCTCCGATGGGAGAGAGTTTGAGGAGGCACGCACAATACACACAACAGGGTTTTCAGGCTGTGGTCTGCCCCTAGCCAGCCAGGATAACAGGATCACGCACATGCCCAGCCTGTAGAGAGAGGCCTCGGAATGCAAACCCAGAACCTTCCCATGTGACTTCTGCATTGCGGAGCATTGTGTTAACTGCTATACCACATGGCTGGCCATTTTTAAAGTTTTTACATTAAATCATTTTCATTATTTGGGGGGTGGTGATGTCAATGAGTTTGAGAGAAAAGAGATGGAAGGGCACTTCTTTATTCCAGTGTCACTGCTGTATTTTTGTCTTATACACTCTACTCTTCCCTTCCCTAGTGGAATCAGGCTGGCCTGCACTTCATGTACCTTCGTTACCTCTGTGGGGGATGCCATGGCAAAGCATTTGGTGTTCAACCCCTCTCACAGATCCAGCAGCATCCTGCCACGGGGTGAGTTGGACAAGACAGAGAAAAGATACGGGTCCTACTCTGTATGTCAGGAGCAGCCCTTCCTGGCCTTCCCCACGCACTGTTTCCCAACCAGAAACGTTCTGACCTGAAGTTCCTGTTCTTTGGGGAAGCCCAGTCACTGTGGAGGGTGTAAGTGGGGTGAAATCCCAGGACACTTGTCTTTGGAATGCTTGTTTCTTCGCTAAGTTAACATTTTTTTATTGTCTCGTTTTTCCTAGGACTCACTTGGATATCTCATTCAAGGTAACAACAACTCACTTCATGAATTAATTTCTGTTCTGTACAATTGGCTCTTTGTTATTTCTGTTGTTTCCGTTGCCTACTTTAACTGAGCTCTCTCTTCCTCTTTGCTTCCCACTCTCACTGCTATAGGCATGGCCAGACTCGTGACCTGGTGCTTGACCGGAACGTGAAGAATATGTACTCTCCTCCTTCCTTCCCTCCCAACAAAGCTGCCACTGTGAAATCTGTAGGAGCCACCCCCACTGAGCCTGAAGAGCTACCAACTCCCATGGCCCAGGCACTTCCATCACCAGCCTCCACCGCAACCCCACCACCAACGCCCACTCACCCACAGCCGTTAGCCCTCCCACCCTTAGCAACAGAGGGGGCTGAATGTCTGAATGTAGATGACCAGGACGAAGGAAGCCCAGTCACCCAGGAGCCTGAGCCAGTATTAGGGGGTGGCAGTGGTGGGGGGGTCAGCAAGAAGGAGCAGTTGTCTGTGAAGAAGCTCCGAGTGGTGCTGTTTGCCCTCTGCTGCAATACGGAACAGGCAGCTGAACACTTCCGGAACCCCCAGCGCCGTATCCGGCGTTGGCTTCGACGCTTCCAGGCCTCCCAGGGGGAGAATCTAGAGGGCAAGTATCTGAGCTTTGAGGCAGAAGAGAAACTGGCTGAGTGGGTGCTGACGCAACGAGAGCAGCAGCTCCCTGTAAATGAGGAGACCTTGTTCCAGAAGGCGACCAAGATAGGGCGTTCTCTGGAGGGGGGGTTTAAGATCTCCTACGAGTGGGCTGTGCGTTTCATGCTGCGGCACCACCTGACTCCCCATGCCCGGCGAGCAGTGGCCCACACCCTACCTAAGGACGTGGCAGAGAACGCAGGACTCTTCATTGAATTCGTTCAGCGGCAGATCCACAACCAGGACTTACCCTTGTCTATGATTGTAGCTGTCGATGAGATCTCCTTGTTTCTGGATACAGAGGTGCTGAGCAGTGATGACCGAAAGGAGAATGCCCTGCAGACAGTGGGCACGGGGGAGCCGTGGTGTGATGTGGTGCTGGCCATGGAGCATTGTGTTAACTGCTATACCACATGGCTGGCCATTTTTAAAGTTTTTACATTAAATCATTTTCATTATTTGGGGGGTGGTGATGTCAATGAGTTTGAGAGAAAAGAGATGGAAGGGCACTTCTTTATTCCAGTGTCACTGCTGTATTTTTGTCTTATACACTCTACTCTTCCCTTCCCTAGTGGAATCAGGCTGGCCTGCACTTCATGTACCTTCGTTACCTCTGTGGGGGATGCCATGGCAAAGCATTTGGTGTTCAACCCCTCTCACAGATCCAGCAGCATCCTGCCACGGGGTGAGTTGGACAAGACAGAGAAAAGATACGGGTCCTACTCTGTATGTCAGGAGCAGCCCTTCCTGGCCTTCCCCACGCACTGTTTCCCAACCAGAAACGTTCTGACCTGAAGTTCCTGTTCTTTGGGGAAGCCCAGTCACTGTGGAGGGTGTAAGTGGGGTGAAATCCCAGGACACTTGTCTTTGGAATGCTTGTTTCTTCGCTAAGTTAACATTTTTTTTATTGTCTCGTTTTTCCTAGGACTCACTTGGATATCTCATTCAAGGTAACAACAACTCACTTCATGAATTAATTTCTGTTCTGTACAATTGGCTCTTTGTTATTTCTGTTGTTTCCGTTGCCTACTTTAACTGAGCTCTCTCTTCCTCTTTGCTTCCCACTCTCACTGCTATAGGCATGGCCAGACTCGTGACCTGGTGCTTGACCGGAACGTGAAGAATATGTACTCTCCTCCTTCCTTCCCTCCCAACAAAGCTGCCTCTGTGAAATCTGTAGGAGCCACCCCCACTGAGCCTGAAGAGCTACCAACTCCCATGGCCCAGGCACTTCCATCACCAGCCTCCACCGCAACCCCACCACCAACGCCCACTCACCCACAGCCGTTAGCCCTCCCACCCTTAGCAACAGAGGGGGCTGAATGTCTGAATGTAGATGACCAGGACGAAGGAAGCCCAGTCACCCAGGAGCCTGAGCCAGTATTAGGGGGTGGCAGTGGTGGGGGGGTCAGCAAGAAGGAGCAGTTGTCTGTGAAGAAGCTCCGAGTGGTGCTGTTTGCCCTCTGCTGCAATACGGAACAGGCAGCTGAACACTTCCGGAACCCCCAGCGCCGTATCCGGCGTTGGCTTCGACGCTTCCAGGCCTCCCAGGGGGAGAATCTAGAGGGCAAGTATCTGAGCTTTGAGGCAGAAGAGAAACTGGCTGAGTGGGTGCTGACGCAACGAGAGCAGCAGCTCCCTGTAAATGAGGAGACCTTGTTCCAGAAGGCGACCAAGATAGGGCGTTCTCTGGAGGGGGGGTTTAAGATCTCCTACGAGTGGGCTGTGCGTTTCATGCTGCGGCACCACCTGACTCCCCATGCCCGGCGAGCAGTGGCCCACACCCTACCTAAGGACGTGGCAGAGAACGCAGGACTCTTCATTGAATTCGTTCAGCGGCAGATCCACAACCAGGACTTACCCTTGTCTATGATTGTAGCTGTCGATGAGATCTCCTTGTTTCTGGATACAGAGGTGCTGAGCAGTGATGACCGAAAGGAGAATGCCCTGCAGACAGTGGGCACGGGGGAGCCGTGGTGTGATGTGGTGCTGGCCATCCTGGCAGATGGCACTGTCCTTCCCACCTTGGTTTTCTACCGAGGACAGATGGATCAGCCTGCTTCCGTGCCAGACTCTATATTGCTGGAGGCAAAGGAGAGTGGCTACAGCGATGACGAGATCATGGAGTTGTGGTCAGCCCGGGTGTGGCAGAAGCACACGGCCTGCCAGCGCAGCAAAGGCATGCTGGTGATGGACTGCCATCGCACCCACCTGTCAGAGGAGGTGCTGGCCATGCTCAGTGCCTCCAGCACTTTGCCTGCCGTGGTCCCAGCAGGCTGTAGCTCCAAAATCCAGCCCTTAGATGTGTGCATCAAACGAACTGTCAAGAACTTCCTGCACAAAAAGTGGAAGGAGCAGGCTCGGGAAATGGCAGACACTGCATGTGATTCTGATGTCCTGCTTCAGCTGGTGCTGGTCTGGCTGGGCGAAGTGCTGGCCGTCATTGGGGACTGTCCAGAGCTGGTTCAGCGGTCCTTCCTCGTGGCTAGTGTTCTTCCTGGCCCCGACGGCAACATCAACTCCCCTACAAAAAATGCTGACATGCAGGAGGAGCTGATCGCCTCCTTGGAGGAGCAGCTGAAGCTGAGTGGGGAACAGTCTGAGGAACCCTCAGCTTCCACTCCCCGGCCCAGGTCATCTCCTGAAGAGACAATTGAGCCCGAAAGCCTTCACCAGCTGTTTGAGGGTGAAAGTGAGACCGAGTCTTTCTATGGCTTTGAAGAAGCTGACCTAGATCTGATGGAGATTTGAGCGTTGGGGTCCTGAGGGGGGTGTGGATTGGGGGTGGGAAAGTGTGAGGGAGGGTAGAGGGATTTAGGGACAAGGGGGCATACCAGGTGGAGTATTTGGTTTATATTTTTTAATTTTATGCCACCACTCCCCCCCAATGTTGACTTACACTTCCCTGTGGATTTGTGGATTATTAGGAAAACCAATAGTGATCACGTCTGAGCCGAGGAGCTGGCCCATTGGTCATTCACTTCTGCTAAAAACAGGTTTTTGTGACTTTTTTTTTAAATTTTAAATCACTGTGTTTGGTATTTTTCTGACAAAATCAAGAAAAAGGAAAAAAAATCCTTTGCGGGCGAATGTTAAATTTTTTGTTCCCCCTTTACCTCAATTGTATCATAGTACTTCTGGTTTTTTGTTTGTTTTACTGTGTGGCCAATGTCTTTGGGCATGATGCTATCTAGCCATTGTCAATGTGAGAACACTTCTGAAGATGGGAAAGACAATATGTAGCTCATAAACTGGTTTATTATATATATGGATAAAAAACTTTTTCATTGTGGTCTTAACACTTTTATATAAAAACGAAAATGGAAAAAAATTCCACTGAACTCTCTCTTCCTTCTCCTTTCTTTCCTTCCCTCTCCAGAGATGTTGGTTTCTATGGCAACTCTAGATATAAAATTGTGGCTTTAAAAATGCATGAAACCACCTTTAATCCTCCAGAATGAATAAATTTATATTTTCCTCACCATGCTCCCTCCAACAAAAACACAACAAAACAATCCTCTTTGCACTTGTGTTCCTTGACCCCCTTCCCCATTCTCACACCATCCATCCCTCTGGACCAAGGACCATTCATGTGTCATTAGCAGGAGGTCCTGAGGTGATGAAAGTGTAGGGTGGAAGCCATTCCCAGTTTGAGCCTTCATCCTACCAGCCCCAGGGGCAGTCCCTGCTTTGTCGAACTTCATCCTGTTCATTGGACAGCCTGCCTGTTCAAGAGATTCCAGGTCCTACAGCCAGGAGCTAATTGTGCAAGAAGTTGAGTGTTGAACTTGAAAAGACACACCACTTGAGATCCTGCTTACCCTGTCTGTGGCTTTCCCATTTCTCTTTATTCTCAGAGAAGAACCTGACATGAAGAAGCAACACATGGGGTACGCACAAAGACACATGAAAATTTATTTTTCACTGCCAGCTTCAAGGAAAGGAAATTTTTTTCTACAGTTTGCATGAGGGATTTTTTTTTAAATGTACTTACAGTTAAAAACCAAAATGTACTGTGCTGTACAGAGAAAAGGAGCAAAAAACCAAGTCCACCTCTCCCACAGTTGTACCACTGTCCTGTCCATCCCGAGGCTTTCAGCATCATTTCCCTCCTGTGAGCCAAGGAGGCAGCCCGCACAAGCTTGTAAATGGTTCATCTTTAAATGTACATAAGTGGAACGTTTAATAAAATGAAGGGAAGTGGATTTATACTGTGTTTTTTTCCTAGGTGACCTTGTTTAATTAAAGTCTTTTCATAGACTGGCAGATGCTCAAGATGTGATGGGCCTGGTCATGCAGGTGTGACATTTGTTACCACCCATGTCCCTCTTCTGCCCCCCTCCCTTTTTAAAAACCCCAGCACACTATAATATAGTGAACTGGAGCAATCTCTCCCAGAAACAGCTTGGCCAGCTTTGTGAACCTGTGGCATCTGGAAACTGAACTAAGGATCCATCTGGGCTTCTCTTCCCAGCTTTTTGCCGGATGCCCATTTTATTGACAGACTATGGACTTTCAAGTCGACCCTTTGCCTTTGAGAAAGTTCAAGAACTGTGATTGGTCACGTCTATCTACAGCTTGATCCTCCTCTTTGGTAGTCTGCAGCAGCCGCAGCTTTAGCAGGGCTGGGCTCCTGGCCTCTACACAGGCTGACTTTCTTGATGGGCAGTTTTTTGTTTTGTTTTGTTTTTTTTTAAAGATCATTAATACCAACAGCGGGTCAGCTGGGTTTTGGCCAGGACGTCGTCTTTGTGGACTCCGCCTGCATGGCTTAGTAGTAGAAGGAAGTTTTTTTGTTTTGTTGTTTTTTATAATTCAGTTTAATCAATAAACGTATTTATTGACTACTTTCTGTGTTGAGACTGGATGTGTAGACGTTTCAAATGACGAAGCTCGTGATTTTCTTTTGCCTAAATTTAGTAGTGGTGGTAATGGACAATACAAATGGAGGCATCTGATTTCTCCCTCAGTTTCCTCACCTTACTGAATTCCTGTACTACTGGGTTATTAGAAAAGTCATGACACATTTTTGTATGTTAAAAATATTTTAAGACTTTTCCGACAACCCAGTAGTTTGAGTTTACTACCTACACCAGTTTCTCAAAAAGGTTTGGAGAAGGTATATATCAAAATCACATAAGGTGTTCATTTTTAAAATTCAGGTGTAAAAGCACTCCAGGGATGGAACGTGGCTAATACATAACAGACAACCCAGAGCTACACTTAGGCCTTTTCAATGAACACATGGTACTTGCAAGTTTTCTGACAGTGCTAGAAATTCAATAGCGTGCGAACAACAAACATTTAGGTTAAATGTTTACAGCCACTCATCACCTACCGCCCTGCCTTTTTAACTGCCGAGGCTCCCCACTAGTTCTCTAGCACAGGCAGCCCCCCTCAGTCTGTATCATGTGGGAATACCTTTCCTCCGTCTTTGTCTTATTCCTGTAGTCAGTATTCACCACATGAAGTGTTTACAATCACACAAGATTACATACTCCATTTATAAATTTATATTTATTGTACATCTATAGTATTCAGAATAAAAACTCCAGATTTATGTCCTGTGTCTTGTTGCTTTCTGGTGTTTGTCTAATTATGCTTTTCTTTTTACTTTTTTTTTTTAAGAATTATTTAACTTTATTGATTTAAATTTGACCAGAGAGACGGGGGGAGAGCAAGAGAAGCAAGCTGCCAGGTCCAGGACCCAAACCGTGCTCTGCCATGCACAAGTCCATACCACCTGCCAGCCTCTAATTGCATTTTGTATAGAATGAGATTATTTGCTATGGGGCACGTGTTCTCACAGAGAGAGAAAGCAAGCTGCCAGGTCTGGGACTTGGAACTGCAGTCAGCCATGTAAAAATCCAGCATCCCAATCACCATGTCACCTGCTGGCCCCCACAACACCTGCGTTTAAAATCCTTGTTGACCAGTCCAATAGAATTTGGTCTTTAAGCAAGGAGCATCTGTACTTAGTGTTCCCTGCTTGGAAGTATTCCTGGAGGGGTAAAGGGATCGAGGCCATCAGTTCCAGGTTGAAGGTAACCTCATACAGAGCAGCTGTTACTAGATAATACATTTCTATCCCTGGGACAGTGGCTTAATGTAAATGTATATTCTTTGAGAATCTACTACAGTGGGGAAAACGAATAAAACACAGAAAAGCCAGTTACCTTATGTCACAAAGTCTGGCTTGTACAGGAAGCTGCTCTTAGGACATCCCTAGTGAAGACAGTAGTGGGTCTTCTGTACTGTCACACAGAGGATTCTGTACTAGCTAGAAGAGCCCAAAGGTTCTCTGAGCAGGAAAAGGAAGGACGTAGGCAGTTTTGCTCTTGGTGTGACCCAGCCAGACAATAAAACCGCTCAGCAAGCATTGCAAAGGATGGATTTATTTTACAAAAGAAATGACTGCCTTTGAACCAGCCAAGTTCAAAAAAAAAGTACAACTGTTCTGGGTAGCGCATCTGTATTTCACTCAAAACCACTAAAAAAGGAAGCACAATAAAATTAGCATATCAGGACCAATTCTAAAAACAGCTCTACCCTCTGACCAAAACCACCTCCACCCAAGGAATTTTTCCAGTTGAACTTTCCAGAAAAGCCCAGTTCAGTGGATCTCCCAATTCTTACACCACCATTTTCAACTACTGTAATTGAAATTTAAATCACCTGATCATGTGGGCAATTTCCCAGTTCGTCTCTGCAGACAGTGGTCCCTCTATCTCAACCCCTTTTTCAGTTACAGTGGCGATTTGGAACTGAAAGAAAGCAGAGCTTACTGTGAGAATGCCCAATCCCAAAGGAAGGCCATGGGGTCAGCCAACGGTCTCCCAGTCAAAAAAGTCACCGAAGTGAGGGCATCTGTTCTTGAGAACACAGAGACTCAGGGATTGCAAGGATCCAGAGCCTGTCTAGATCCCACCGCTTTCATTTTCACCCTGCTCCTCACCCGGTTGTAAGAACGGGCGTCTCGATAGTATAGCACTCGCATGCAGCGCTCCACCAGCTCTCGGGCCTCGGTCTGGCTCAGTACAGGCTGCTTTTCCAGAACTTCTCGTAGCAGAGGCTAGTGAGGGTGGGGGAAAAACCATGGGAACTATCAGGCTGAATAACATTTTCGTTTTCTCAAATTCATAGTAGAAAACAGTAGCACAAATAAAGGAGTAAAAAACACGTGCTACTGCCTCACCAGTGTGAATTCTGCTAATCGAGTTAAGATACACTTCAAGGGGAAGTTTTAGGGCATCCTCTCTGCACATGCCTGCTGACTTCCACTCATGTCACTCTGTCACTGGACTCTTACATGCCAACCAACACTTAGACCACAAAGAAAATCATTTGCAGAGCAATAGGGATCCCAGCCACATGATTCCGAGGGGCAGAATAACAACTATGAACCCCATATCTTCTGTTCCCCTCTCCCCTCCCTCCAGACCCACTGCTTACCTGAGCCAGGTATGCACCATAACCAGTGGCCAGTGAAGGGGCTTCGTAGGCTACACCAAGCATGTCCACGTAACCAAGGAAGCTAACAGGACACAATGGGTCAAAGAACTCATTTCATCTTAACATTTTTTATATTAGCTGAAGAATGGGCCCAAGGGGTCTGAGTTAAGGATTCACTGGGGAGATAGAGGAGACACTGCAAGCCCTGGGTTGGGTGGTCAAGGAAGTAAGTTATCTGTACTCAAATCAACCTCTCTCCATCAGCATAGCCTCCAATGACCATGGTGTTCCATAGAGGGTTCATCTTCGAGCGGCGGCTGTACATGGCCCTGGTCAGCCAAGAATGAATAGCTCTGGGACTATAGCTGTGTCCATCTCCCAGCAACTCCTCATCGATCCTTAAAAGGAATTGGTGGACAGAATGGAAGTGGGCATCTCCACCCACCTGTAAAAGTAGTTAACTCCAAATTTCCTCACTTTACACCTCCTCCAATGCCCAAAACAACTTACTGCATCTTCCACCCCAACAATTCTCCCAATACTCCTCTGCAGCCTCAAGTCTTCCCATCTCATCTAAGGGAATAAGAAGGGATTCCCTGGAACCAGCAGGTGGTGTGGTGGTTAAGGGCACTGGACTCCCACATGGCCCACTGAGGTTCAAGTCCCAGACCTGCCAGCTTGCTTTCTCACTTTCTCTCTCACTTTTTCCCTCTCTTGTCATATTAAAATAAATAGAGTTAAATAAAATAATTCTTGGGACCAGCAGGTGGCGTGGTAGTTAAGGTGCTGGACACTCCCACATGGCCTACCACAGTGTGAGTCCTGGACCTGGTGGCTTGCTTTCTCACTTTCTCTCTCTCCTTCTCTCTTTGGTCAAATTAAAATAAATGAATGAATAAATAAAATTAATTCTTAAAATAAATAAATAAAATACTTCTTTTAAAAAGGAGGGATGCCCCTCCCCTCTTGGGAACTACTCCCTATTCTCTAGATAACTTACACCATCTGGCCAAGAACCTGCTTCAAGTACTGGAAGTCGGCGTAGTCTCCAGAGGCGCCCAGCATGGTGCTGTTGTTGACGCGCATGATCCGAGAGATGTTGCGGAAACGAGCCAGGGAACCGTAGGAGCCCAGCATGTCGGCAGCAATCACCACTCCGCCCTCGAACTTAACGCCGAGAACCGAGGTCCCGGTCACCATGGGGTTCCTGGAGGGTGAGGGAAAGTGAGCAAGGGCTGGCCCAGACGGTGCGGAGCAAGAGCCCGCACCCTCTTTCCGCGCATCGGGTTCCGCTCCAATCGCTCCGCATTTTCGGGGACTCGGCGCCGGGTGGTCCCTGCCTCCCGCTGGGACCTCTGAAAACGAGAGCGCGGCCCCAGGGCCCACGCCTCCCCTCCGCAGCGGAGAACTTACTGGGTCCGCGTGATCGGACTCCCGTAGAGCGCGGACGCCGGGTCCATGAGGGAAGCCGGAGTGGACGGGACACGATAGAACTGCCCGGGGGCCGGACCCCCGGCCCAATGGCCGCATCGCGACTCCAAAAACGCTTCCATCTTAGTCACCGTAGCAGGAGAAACGAAAGTGCTTGCGCCGACGGAAGCGGAAGTGGTCCTTCAGTGCCACACCTCCTCCTTCCTGCAAGCCTCTGCCGGCAGCCATGGTGATGAGGTCCGGGTTGATCGTACCGTGGTCCTGGCGGCGACCGGAACGCAGAGCTGGAGTCGCCCCGCGTCGCGTCGCGGTGTTGGGGCCGTGACGCCGACCCTGAGCGAGCAGCCGGCAATTCTCATGTCCCTTTTGGATCTTTATCAAAAAGCCCCTATGGAAATACGAGTGAGCCCAGGATCTCTTCGCGCGTCCTCGAAGCAGCCCCAAGCAGCGGTGTGGGACCCATTTCACAGATAACCCGAGGCTGTGGCGTGCCTCAAGGGTAGGCCGCTCGCCAGCACGGGTAGAACTGATTCTAAATCCGGTGTGTAAAAGTCGCGTCGGCACCAGCAGTTGGCGTAATGGCTATGTCGCTGGACTCGCATCTAGTCAACTGTGGTTTGAGTCCCAGACCCGGTGGCTTAAACTTCAGGCGTGCCCAAGATCCCCAGAGGAAACGTGTTTGTGGCGTGTGTGGGGTGATTTGCTTTCTGTCTCTCTCCATCCCCCCGTGGGGGGTGATTTCTGGCTTTCTATCCTATAGCAAAAACCTCTCCAAAAAAAGGAGTCGGGTTCAGTTGTGTATTCCCTGTGGCGTCCACTAGCAGATACATTATACACTCTGTGAGACCCTGGACAAGTCTCTGCAAGTTTCCTGATGGTCAGACATCTTTGCCCACCTCTTAAGCACCAGAACATGACCAAGACTGTGGGAGTGAGACTACAGACCAGTTTCCCTTCTCATGTGACTTGTAGCAGGAGCTGGAGGCAATGCTTTCACACAAACAGGTGAACTTGGTCAAAGATAAACAAGCCAGACCCTGGTGGTAAGGACAGGTTTTGTTTTGTTCTGTTCTAAGTTTACTTCTTAAGAGTGAAGGAGAGAAAGACAAGCACTTACAATAGGCCTCACGTGGCAATTCCCACACGTCCCCAGCCTTCCCAGCCAGCCAGCATCAGGGGCATCTTCTGCAGGACAGGCCCACCAGGGAGCCAAACCTTGATCTTCCACATGGAACCAGCATTGCTGGTGCAACACAGCAGAGCCATGCGGCCTGCCAGCCCAAGGACAGTTAGTAATAACGATTGTGGTGGGGAGAAGAGTCCAGTGTGACTTGAACGCTACTGTTGCCACCAGGTGGGGAGAGAGCTCAGTAGTCAGGGATTTAAAAAATCACAAAGGGCTAGTCAGTGTAAACCTGATTAGGAAGCTGTGTGTACACGCTGACCCTTCCAGAAGTGAGAGGCCTGTCCTCCCACAGAGACTGTCATCTGGTCTTGACTGGGGCAAACCAGTACATTTTTTGGCAGTTGAGTTTTCTCAGGTAGGCACTTGGTGGGGGCGGGGGAGGGGGCGCAGAGGCTAGGGCCTCTTGGGGATGTGGCCTTGAGCTGTTAGAAGCTATTTTCGCGTTTGTTGAAGCTTTTAAAGGCCAAGGTTGAAACCTAGAACTAGAGAGGGCTCAGAGGAGCCTGGAGTGTGACTGTGGGCAGAATCTTTGTCAGTTTAAAACCAAATAAACCACCCTACCTTCCTGCTCCACCCTATATACTTTGAATTATTGATATCATCATCATTATTATTATTTAGCTCAAATAAAGCAAATCCAATTTGTTTTTAAAACCAAGTTGTTGTGGGACCAGCAGATGGCAGAGCAGTTACATCTCTGGACTCCTACATGGCTGACTGATTTGAGTCCCACACCCGATGGCTTGAAAATCACTCCAGGTGTGTGTGTATGCATGCCCAAGATCCCAAGAGGAGAGTGTAAGAGAAAGGGTTGCAGTGTGGTCATTCCCCCTAGGGGATGATTTCTCACTTTCCCTCTCACTATCTCTGTCTCTCTCCAGCGAGAGCATACATCCTATGACAAAAACCTTTTTTTAAAAAAAACCTTGTGTGGGTTTTTTTGTTTTGTTTTGTTTTTGCCAGAGGGTAATGTACTCATTGAAGAGAGCGAGAGGAAGCACCCCCTCCAATGGGCATGGTTACACTACTACTTTCTCCTCCATCTCTCTGACCTGTCAGGTTTTTGGTCACACATGCACAAGAATACAGAGTGTTTATTTCAAGCTACCAGGGCCAGGACTCAAACCATGCCAATGACCCAGCTCCTTTAACCACTAGGCCACACAGCCTGGCTCTGACGAAGTTAATTTAAGCCAAAGCAGTGCATGATGTTTTTAAAGAATTATTTCTTTAATTTACAGACCAGCAGATGGCATAATGGTTACATCCCTGGACTCCCGCATAGTCAATTGTGATTCAAGTCCTGGACCCGGTGGCTTAAAACTCACACCAGGCATGTGTGTGTGCGTGCCCAAAATCCTGAGAGGAGAATGGAGGAGAAGGGATTGGGGCATGGCCATCCTTCCCTGGGGATGATTTCTGACTTTCTGTCTCCTCAGTCTCTCTCTCTGTCTTTCTGGCAAGTGCATGTGCCCCATAGTAAAAATCCTCTCTTAAAAAATTTATTTAATTTTATTTTTCATTATGGTTATTTATTTTTTTTTAATTTGCTATAGGACATGTGTACACGCCAGAGAGAGACACAGAAAGAGGGAAAGTGAGAAAGCAAGCCTCCAGGTCTGGGACTCAAACCAGGGTCAGCCATGTGGAAGTCCAGCACCTTAACTACCACACCACCTGCTGGCCCAGTACATGAATTTTTACACTAACAGAAACTCTGAACTATTTTATTAAGTAAGGAAAACCTGAAAAGGGAAAGGTCAGGATCTTGTACAAGAGGCACCCAAGTAAGTTTGTGTCACCTTTTGGTGTTTAAAAAGAGTTATTCCATGAAACCAGCAAGTGGCAGAATGGTTATATTGCTGGACTCCCACATGGTTGGCCACAGTTAGGTCTGGTGGCTTAAAACTCTGGCTGGGTGCATGTGCATGCATGCCCAAAAGATCCTGAGAGGACAATGGAGGAGAAGGGATTGTAACATGACTATCCCCTCTGGGGGGGCGAGTTCTCACTTTCTGTCTCTGTCTCTCTGGTAAACACATGCGCCTATAGCAAAAATCTCTAAAATAGAGGGAGAGAGAGAGAGCTATTCCAGGTTGGCCCCATAACCTGGTGGCTAAAAAAGCTAGATCCTGAGGCCAGCAGGTGGCATGATAGTTAAAATGATGGATCTCACATAGCTGACTCAACAGTTCAAGTCCCAGACCCAGCAGCTTGAAAATCACACCAGGCACGTTTACATGCATGCATGCCCTAAACCCTGAGAGAAGAATGGAAGAGAAGGGACTGGGGGATGGCCATCTCCTGGGGTGATTTTTCGCTTTCCCTCTCTCTCTGGAAAGCACCCTATAGCAACAAAACAAAAAGTCATATCCCACATGGCCAACTGTGGTTCAAGTCCTGACCCCACAGCTTGAGAAAAACATGTTAATGCATATGCACGTACGCCCAGAGTCCTGACAAGCTGGAGCAATGGAGAAGGGATTGTAGTATGATCACACCCCATTGGGGGGATACTCTCTCTCTCTCTCTCTCTGTCTCTTTCTGTCACCTTGTCTAGCAATTTTAAAAAATACAAAGAATATAATAATGAAAAGAGATATTTTATTTTCTTCCCTAACTTGTAGTAACTTCCTCTCCAGATCCTATATTCTTGGTGATTCTTGGTAATTCTTGGGCCACTTAGAGACATACTCAGAAAAATGGCAGGTGCTCAGTTGTGAAGACAATTGGCTAGCTGGCATGCCTCCAGAACAGCTCCCTGACCATGTGAACTGTCAACTAACTGGCTGCAGGCTTTAGAAGTGGCCTGAAAGGGCTGGCTGGTGTCCCTCCTTTTTTAGGCACCCTCGTTAAAACTGGTTGGACCAGTACCAGTTCCAGAGATGAGACAGGCAGCCACATTCCATGAGAGTCTAAAAGAAGAAAAGTGAAAGGATCCAGACCGTCTAACCTGACAATAGAATGACAGGAAAAGCAGACCACTAACCACCAACGATGCAATGTTCAAAAGAAGGTGACCGGCATGTCTGGTGTCCTTGTGAGAACAAGACGTAAGCTGCATTGAGGAAAACTGAGGAAGTTTCTTTTCTTTTTTTTTTTCTTTTTTGGAGAGGTTTTTGCTGTAGGGTGTGTGCACTCGCCAGAGAGACAGAGAGATAGAAAGTGAGAAGTCACCCCCCAGTGGGGATGGCCATGCCACAATCCCTTCTCCTCCATTCTCTCAGGATCTTGGGCACGCACGCACCCATGCCTGGTGTGAGTTTTAAGTCACTGGGTCCGGGACACGAACCGCGGTCGACTATGTGGGAGTCCAGCGACATAGCCATTACGCTAACTGCTGGTTCCCAATATTTTTGTTTTGTTTTTGGAGAGGATTTTGCTATAGGGCTCATGCCAGAGAGACAGAAAGCAAGAAATCACCCCTTAAGAAGGATGGCCATGCCACAGTCCCTTTTCCATTCTGTCAGAATCATAGGCAGGCTTGCATACATGGCCGGTCTGAGTTTAAGCCACCGGGTCCAGGTCTCAAACCATTACATGGGAGTCCAGTCACAAAGCCATTATGCCAACTGCTGGTTCCGGTCCCCAATGTTTTTTTTTTTTTTTAATTTTGTCAGAGCAGGGCCAGCAGGTGGTGTGGTTAAAGTGCTGGACTCCCACATGACCAATGGCGTTTGAGTCCTGGACCTAGTAGCTTGCTTTTTCACTTTTCCCATCTCTCTGGTGTATGCAAGTCCTATAGCAAATTCAAAATAATAAATAAAATTAAATAAATAAATCTTTTTTAAAAATATGCCAAAGGGCATGTGCCCTCTCTAGAGAGAGACCGAAAGGGGCTGGGGGAAATCACCCCCAATGGGGCATGGTCACACGCAATCCCTTCTGCACTTCCCCACCCTGTCAAGATTTAAGTGTACACACACGTGCCCAGCATGTTTTCTGAGCGACTGAACTACAGGGTTGAAC